ACACACTTCCTCCCGCCCTCCCTCAACTTATTCTTATCATCCAAAGTGACCTATGTCTTAGAGCATATAGAATTTCTTAACTGTCAAAATTACTTCCTCACAAACATTTCTTTGATAAGAGACAATTCCTTTCTTTTTTCACAATAGGTTGATGACTATAATTTCAAACATACTTGAAAAGTCTTTAACTACATAAAGATAAACAAAAATATGACAGGTAATTTAACTTTTTAAAAAGAATAACTTGACATATCAAATTTATATATCATTCTAAATCAGCAATTTTGTATTTATAATTAAACATTTAATGAAGTGAAAATTCGACTTACATTAAACTAGTCATAATAAAATTTGTCTTTGTTTGCTCTTTTATGGAAAGCATATTTCAGATGTTAACGTCTTTCAAAGAAACCCAGAGTCTAATGACTCCCTTCGATATTTTCTCACTTACAAATTCCAAACTAGAATAAAACCTAGTGGAAGTCACATAATACATCATACTGCTTAGAGTTAACTGTACCTTTTGGCATTTTATGGGCAGTATTAATAATTTAAACATAAATTTAGGTATATAATATTAAAATCCCTAATAGTTGAAGTATATTCTAACTCAATGTTAGATCTCTTTAAAAGATGTAGCGCCTGCATTCACACTTTCCATAGTTGAATTAGTTCCTTTTCCCGTTACCATGACAAAATACCCTGAAAAGAGGAAGAAAGATGTCTTTTTGTTTCACAGTTCAATGGTACATTCCACCATGACAGGGAAGTCAAGGGGGCAGAAGCCAAAGGCAGCTCCTGGACTGCCACCTGATCAATGAATTTCTTCCTGTCAAAATTTTCAGCATTCAAGAGGCTAAGAAAGAGGAATTATGTGTTTTACACCAACATAGGCTGTATAATAATTTCTAGACTAGCCTGAAATACACAGGAATAGCCTGCCTCAATAGTAGTAGTAGTAGTAGTAGTAATAGTAGTAGTAGTAGTAGTAGTAGTGGTAAATTGTGGATAAAAAGACATTTGAAAAGCTTCTGTGAGGTTGGTGAGATGTTTCACCTGGTAAATAGACTTACCGCCAAACCTAATATAATAACAGTTATAGAAAGTTACAAGTAGTAAATAATCTATAATAGCTGCTCCCTCTTCTGATTCGATTAAGAACTATAGATGAGCAGTTAATACAAAAATAGAGTTAAATACAAATCAGAATAAAAATTTTGCTTAAACTTTTTAAATTTAAATAGTCACAAGTGTTTTGCTTGTGTGTGAAGACTCTTTGAGTGGACATACACTAATTGGGGTCCTCCACAAGGCCCACTGATAAAGCAATCTGTTTGATTTCCAGTTCTGGTTTCTTTAGTGTAGAGAGAATGCATCAGAAAACATGGGGAGCATTCTGATCTCAGACTTCTAAATTCTTAAAGTTGCTTCCCTAATTTTTGACTGGAGCCTCATCTACACTTACCTAATTGACAATGTTTACTTCTCTTTTTCTTTGTGAAGCAAGTCTTGTAAAGTGCTTAGACCCCATCTCAGGCAACAGTAGCCTTTTTTTCCTCTTAAAATGTTTCTTTGATTTTGGAAATTGCTAATTAAATTATGTTTGTAGTATTGATGAGAGCAGGTTTGTAGACATGCATACAAAAGACGGCTGAAATGTACACGCAACTAACATCTGAACTAATGAGAGGAGAAGAGATAGCCACACACAGGTACTGCAAGCATGTTTACTTATTTGTAGATCACTTTAGGGATCGTCAGCTATCATTGGTACAGAGGAGGAAGCAAAATGTTACCACAGCACCCTAAGACGTAGGGTTTACAGAAGGAAAGAGGAATATTGTAAAAGGAAAATGACTCTTGCCAACCCTAAAAGGGAGGCAGGGAGGAGGCAGAAGTTTTTAATAAAAAAAATTAATAAAAAAAGGAAAATGAAATGGTAAAGAGGACTGGAGATTAATTTTTCCTTCTTTTTTAGCTTCAAATGAGTCAGTATTAATTGTTCCTAACGTTTGAAGAGAGAAAGTAAACATTAAATTATTAGAATCAACGCATTGGAACATGCCTACTACATATTAAAACGGAAACCTAAGCATGACATAACTTAGAAACTGAACACCTCACTATTTCTTACAGAGAGCCATGCTGGCACCTTGCCGTTTCCACAGTGCTTCCTGTTTCCCATTCAACCTCACATGTTTATCTGTGATAATTAGTAATTTCTGTGATAATCTAAAAGGATCTGGTTGCACGTCATAACCATCTTCATCCTTATCCAGGTTTTTCCATTAACATTTCAGAAGTCTGTTTTCTAACCTTTACATTGCAGAAAACAAAATAATTATGAATCATTCCCTTGAGAGACACAAATGTCCATATAAAGGAGTTAATGGCCTTTCTACCTGGGCACTTAGTGCCGATGCTTTTAAACAATGTATTTCTTCATAAGGAAATGGAATAACTTTTACTTGGAACTGTTGCAATTTTAGTATGATTCCAATGTCATTCCACCAATACAATGTGTAAAAATGTGTCTAATGCAGGTTTTTAGATTTTTACATAGTAAGTAACAAACATTCCCCTGTTAACGTATATATTTCAGTACAGATTACCCTGTTCTTCATGTGTTAAGATCATCACTAATAGACTAAGACTTTTGCCTCCCCACAGGAAATTGTGGTTTTAGTATATTTTAATAGCCATTTTTAAAAGCTGAAGGGCCTGGGTATGGTGGCACACACTTTTAGTCTTCATGCTTGGAAGACAGAAGCAGGTGAATCTCTGTGAGTTTAAAATCAGTCCAGTCTGCATGTTGACTTCCAGGCTAGCCAGGTTTATATACCGAGACTCTGTCTGAAAAATATTAAAACTGGAAGTCCTGCTTTGTAGGAAGACCCTATCCTAAACCTAAATGCTAAGTTCAAATTATTCCTCTGTTGGTGACCCTCTCCCTCTTGGGAGTTCTTTTTTTTTTAATTTTTTCTGAATAAATCTACATTTCCTCTGCTAAAAATCTTAGTGATTATCTTGCTATATTTCATCTGAGTGCAATTTAAGAGTCTTCTATTCTCTGTAAATGGTAGACGTTAGTTGCCAGGTATTCAGGTTGATTTGAGGATAATGCCATCCTTGTTTCGAATGTACAGACCAGCTTCCATTTGAAATCAAAAGAAATATAAGGGCTATAGATGTGGGTATTACACACAATGTTTTTATACAAAAACAGTGAGCACCAGACAGGGAAATAATACCTCCCAGGTCAAGCAAGTCCAATAGGGAGTCAACTCAGTGATGCTGTCCTTGTGAACAGACATTACATTACATAAACTGTTCTCCTAAGTGAGGGAGTTTGTCCCTTAGATGTCATTCGTTGGAAAATTTGGTTGTCATGCATCATGTTAAAGATCCATAAATGCCAACTCGATGGGGTAGCTATGATGCATGATATTCTACTCTGCATATTCGCATAGTGTTCTGTTCAATAGATCCTCATGATGCATCACATCAGAGACGCCTGCTTTCAAACTTCAGAAACAGCCAAAATCCCCATGGGAGCCTTCCAAAGTCTCTGCAACAAGGACTAAAATACCATGAGAGCAGAAAGTCATCCTAGGCTGACAAAATACCTTCCTCCCTAAATAAAAGTATTTATCATGTAGTAGGTACAAAGGATGAATGTACTCGCATGATTTAGTTTATCTTCTCATTGTAAAAAGTAAAGAATCCCTTGCTGCTTGAAACATAGGATTTAGAATCTAGCAGCATTCTACTGGTCATGTCATTCCAGATTTTGTGTTGAGTAACATAATGTGGTAATTAAGAATATGCACTCTGAAGAAAACAAATCCAAATATGTATCCCAGGTTACAACATTTTTACTCATAGAATTTTGGCACAATTTAAGACCTGCAAGTTTAGTTTCTCAAAGGTAAAATGAGGATGCTCCAAGTATCGGCTTCATAGGGTCATTGTGTAGGAGACAGATTAATGTATGTGTGGGTGATGCTTATCACGGCATCATGTACCAAGGAACTGGAACACGATGCTGTAACACTAATGCATCCTAGTGTGAAGCCTATCTTGGCTTCTAATAAAGAAGAAAGTACCATAAATGAGTGATAACAAACAAGAGAAATCTAGTTCTGTCACATTTGGGGGTGAAGATGTCCAAGTTTAAGTGACTAGCAAATATGTCTGGTAACTATTGCCTCTTGCTACTTCCTCCCCTAATCAAAGGGGCTAGCTTCATGTCTGAGGATTCTTTGAGAGGGACACTGTCTTGGCTACAATTTATTGCTGCAACAAATTGCCATGACCAAGGGCAACTTCCAGAAGTACTTTATCGGGTGCTTAAAGTTTCTGAGGTGCCGGGCGGTGGTGGCACAAACCTTTAATCCCAGCATTCGGGAGGCAGAGGCAGTCGGATCTCTGGGAGTTCAAGGCCAGCCTGGTCTACAAGAGCTAGTTCCGGGACAGGCACCAAAGCTACAGAGAAACCCTGTCTCAAAAAAAAAAGTTTCAGAGGGCAAGCTTATGACCATCATGGCTGGTCACATGGCAGCAGGAAGATATAGTCCTGGAGAAGTAGCTGAGAGCTTGCATCCCATCTGCAAACAAGAGTCAGAGAGAGCTATCTGAGAATGGGATGGTCTTTGGAAACCTCAAAGCCCAACCCCATGGACACACCTTCTCCAACAAGACCTCCTAATCTGCCTCAAACAGTTCCACCAACTGAGAGCCAAGCATTCAAATATATGCGTCTCTAGCGGCCATTCTCATCCAAAGCACCACAGGCACTGATTTCAAAATTCGCATTTCAAACAGGCCTATTCCCTAATATTGCCAGAGAGCTTACAGTCTATATGCACTAGTGATAAATGAACACTTTCAGATCGTAGAGTGAACCTCACTGACATTACACCCAAAACAGAGTAAGATGTCTTACAGTTCCAAGATGTCTAGAATTCTTTGATTTATTTTTTTTATCTTCTAATTCATAGATACTTCGGGGAGAAATTGCACCTCTTAAAGAGAATGTCAATCATGTCAATGACCTTGCTCGCCAACTTACCACTTTGAGCATTCAGCTCTCACCTTATAACCTCAGCACTCTGGAAGATCTGAACACCCGATGGAAGCTTCTGCAGGTAGGCATGCTCTGGGCTCTTTGACATAGGATAATGACGTGTACATAAAGTTTGTTTGTAAGGAGCAACAAAGGTTAATCCCTTTTCCACGCATAATGATGTATCCTCTTAATTTCAGCACATCAAGGTGGAGCCAGGCAAATCTCTATGAATTTCTGGCCAGCCTGTTCTACATAGCAAGTTCCAGCCTAGCCAAGGCTATATAGCAAGAACCTGTTTCAAAAGAGTATTATTCATTTGATGTTCATAATAACAAGATGCTTTGTATTGCTTTATAAGTCCTAGTGTTACTAAACCCAATTTCAGATATGTCTGAGAGCTGGAGTCAGTATGGCTTGTAATCGCATGAATGACAGTGGTGAACCACAATGGAGGCACTGAATTGCTAGTGGACAATTCATTTGTGCTGGTATTGCTAGAATTCTGAAAACATCCTTTCCTTTGCAATTCTAACTGAAACAAGAGTCAATAGTATGGTATTAAATTGTCTTACGAACAAGTATCACTATCATCAATCCACACATAGAAGTAGGTTTTTTATAGGTTTGTATAGTAAATATAGGGAATAGGTATGTGTCCCAGGTGTCATTTACTTGCTGTGGCATCTTAGACAGTTTAGTGAATCTTTCTGTGTTTTAGTCTTTCCTCTAGAAGACAAGATAATATAAGTTTCTACATTGGTGATTTTTGTTATGATAAATATATCACAGCAATAAGTATAATTAGTCATTGGAACAGAACTTGTGCTACAGTACCCTATACATTCTCGATCTTAGTGTTATTACAGTTTTTACTATGATTATAATACATAGATTTGGGGATCTGATTAATTAGCTGTGTGTCTTTTATGTCATTTAACCTCTGTGGTTGTCAGTACCTTCATCTCCAACATAGGTACAATAATGTTGAATGAGCTGATTCACATAGTTCTTAGAATAGCATTGGTCTTTACAATAGGAACATAGAAATGGATATAGAGGTAATGTATATTTCCTCTACAAAGGACACTGTGTTATGCCTCCAAACTATAAAACTTGTTTAGTCATAAAATTAGAGACTCATTTTTCCTTTTCCAATTTCACAGGATACAGATTGTATACTCCTGAGACTTGAAAGAAACTTGGTTTGAAAGAATTTAGTGTCAAAGTTTTAATAGGGAAAAATGATAAGCCAGGTTATTCTGTCACCAATGGTCTATTTGAGAGTGTGAAGAGTCCAGTTGAAGAATTATTAGATTGTTTTTAAAAAACAAGTTTCAAATTTCAGACCCCTTGAGATCTTATATAATTTAATTCTAGTATGATGAATAATCTTGAGATATTTGTGTCATTAACTAAGGCGAAACAATACCAGAAAATGACTCTGTGCCTCTGTATGTCCATTGACCCCATGATAGCTCAGTACTATTAAAACCATATCAGTTTCATCCTTAAAATATCTTTCATTTAAAGCATATATAATTAAATTAATGAATGACCAAAGGCAACCAGTGATCAAATTTGTACTATTCAAGCACCCTTGGAATAAATTTTCAATTTTCTTGTAAAACGTTGAGTGCTACATTTGTGTTTCAGAATGTAGTACATGATTTGTGACAGCTACTTGCAAATTTATGACTGAGGTCAAAAGACTATGAAAGATAGGAAAATCTCTTGCAAATCAATACTACACGGGCCAGACATAGTGATGTACCCTTTAATTCTAGCATTTGAGAGGCAGAGGTAGATAGTCTCTGTAAATTCCAGGCCAGTCTGATATACATTGTGATTTTTCTGGACAGCCAGAGCTACATGCTGAGACTCTTGTCTCAAAAATAAAAAGCAAACAAATAATCAACTCTATGTGAGTTTGAGAATGTAAATAAGTAGTAGAATGCTTACTCAAAATGTCCCGAGTTATAGCCACAGCACTACGAAAAAGACTTTATGATCCAGTCTAGTTATACTATTTATTTATTTGTAAAACATGTACTAATGGTTTAATTCTTGCACAAGGACTTGATTGCAATCCCATGCAGATATATGGCAGTAGATGGTGGGCTATAGCAAACAATCGTACAGTCTTCAGTGGGTTAATATGTAAACATCTCTAAACTATAATTCTTATTTTTTGAAATTAAACATTACAGTTTGTCTAAGGCTACCTCCAGTTCGTTTCTATGATCCTTTATCTGGATATCAGGAAGAGAGCATACATGATAAAACTCAGTTTAGAACCAAAAATGATGCTTCTTTTATTCATATCGTAATATATATATATATATATATATATATATATATATATATATATGTGGCTAGTTGCAATTGCAATACTTCTTCCATAACTCTAAACCTGTTATCTGGAGGCCATATAGATGTAGACTTCTCATATTAAATAACTTAGTCAATTTTTGGCTCGTGCTTCTCTTGTAAGTTGAAAATTTAATTCCTTTATTTTTGAGCAATCACCTTAAAGATATCCGTAGAAAATTTTTCTAGCAGAAAGATGATGAGCCCTTGATTTCCGTTCACAAGAAACTGAGTGAAGGCAATCACATACTTCATTTACTTTGACCATTATTCTAACCAATCTACTACATAATCATAGCTAGTTATAACAGTGAGTCATTTTTCAGAAAGGGAACAAGGCAAATACAGATAACTGTCCAGGTTAATGAGACTTCATGAGTTCAGTCTCTCTGACATTTAAAGGAAGCCTAATCTCTGTTGATTATTGCCAGGAAGTGTGTCATGCTTCATTTCTGTTGCTCATCGGTGTCATAGCTGAGTGGGACTGTTGGTTGCATCCTTTCTTTGGAAGTTTGAGTGGAAAATTTGGTGCCGTGCAATCTTGTTCTCAGGGTGCAGAGGGTTTCAGATCATTACAGTTCAGGTTCTCCAAGTCTTATGTCTAAAGTGTCTTCTGAGAACAGGAGAAATGGTCTTCCTCAGGGAAGATTCCTCAGTTGGTTATCTAATACCAAGTCCTCAGCCCTGAGATCAAATACATATAAAGTAATATTAGAGGGATTTAGGAAATTGCATTAATGTGTTTAGGAATATATACTTATGTGTGTGTATGTGTGGGCGACAATATTAAAAGAGGACATAAATTTTGAGAGAACAAGTTGGGAATAAAATGAATTGGAAGGGTTGGAGAGATGGAAGGAGAAAATGATATAATTATATAAAATTTTCAAAAAATAAAAAATAAAATAAAACAGTGCACATTGTAAAAGTGGATATTGCTATCAAAAGATTGCATTCATTTGTGGAATGAAGAACTCAGTTATATTATGTGTATTCTACATTTAAAAGAATGCATGTAAAATTAGGGCATTAGCTAGCTTCTCTGCTGAAAAGCTTGCATTACCGTCGTGATAGCAGCGTAAGTATACAAAACAAAGAATTTAATCACTTATGGTGCTTTATCTGTTGACAAATATTGCATTAAAACTAGGTACAAGTTCACATTTCTTTCTGGTAAGACAAAGAAAAGGTGAAAACACAGCAGAATTAGTAGAAAGGCATATATAGATGTGAGAAAAGGAAAGAAGCCCTAAATTTGAGAAAAGTTATGCAAGAGAAGGAGTAGAATTACATGCTGTCTGACTTTACCTTTCTTGACATTAGACTATCCTGGGTTTAGTTACTTGACAAATTCATTTTGCTTCAGAAAGAAAGCCGCACTTGTATGTCAGCTGTATATAAGATCAGTGAAAATGGTTGAGACATATAAGACAGACAAGTGTGACCATCAATAGCAGGATAAGATCTAGTCATAATTTACCTCGACATAGAAATAGTGAATAAAGAGGCTTCCGAATTTATTTGGAAGCCAGAAATAGAAGTAGAAGACGTCCATTTCCTTGTTTCAGATTTTCTGTCGGCAGGAAATCCCGTGTCTTCCCTCCCAGAGTGCATTGGTACTACGTGGACTATTCTCAGGGTGTTAAAGGTGTTGCTTTATTAAGTGTCCTCAGATACATCCTCACGATCCTTGCAGCATTCTTCTTTCTGTGTTATGAGTACATGTTATGACTATTCACTTTCATAAGCAAGGAAACTGAGACGTACAAACCTGACATGATGCAGTCACATCCTGGGGAAGGTGTCACAAGATCTGAATCCGATCCTCACAACTGTCCTGTCATATTTCCTTGCCTTAAAGGCCCATTAAACTTGGGATTAACCAAGTCATACTCTAAATCTGTTTTGGACAATAAAGGTGTGAAATGCTTGATTTTTTTTCAGACCTACTCTCTTTATAAAATAATTCTTGGATACAATAAATTTGAAAGCTGCTTTTAACAAACCAATGGATCAAAACCAGTTCTGTGTACCCTTCAAAATCACACTTCTTTCAAATCTAAAATTTGAAAGCAAGCTATTCCTTGTTGCCTTGTAAAGGCAACTACATTAAAATCGAATCAAAGTTATTTTAATAAGTCAACTCTTAATGTAAAGCCAATCCTCATATTTAGTCAAGTACAAATGTGTATCAAAAGTCAAAAGGAAAGAAAGGTAAAACAAGAATCCTTTTCAATTTTGAAGTAATGCGCAGACATTGAGTGGCATGGCCATTTTCCTTATTCATCATGAAAGGGAGTAGTCTACAATCTCTGCACTCAGGAATAAATCCATGCATGACAACGAAAGGATGAAAATACACTCTTACATAAAGAATACATGCTATATTAAACATAAGGTATTATAGACTGTGAAAACATGTTAAATTAAATATTATTAAGGCATTTCTAGGCACAAAGTTCTTTCAATATGTTAAGGAGCCATGCCGGTAATGGTGTATATTTTAAAAGATTTGCTCACGTTCCTCTGATAACACGCATACATAGTTGTTCTCCTCCTGCACACCACTGTAGTCATGTTCTAGGAACATTCTAGGCACTCGCATCCTGCATTGCCATGTATGCTTTCATTCTTTCATTTCTTTTCATTGGATTACCTCTGAGTAAGCATACTATATACTGAGGAGTCATGGTCATAATCCTACTTGGTCGA